CAGGAATGCAACTGCAATAGCAGTCCCTCACTACTTAGCTTTATGAATAAAGCAAAATCAAAGCAAGCTCGGTAACCTAACGGTGCTGGACAACAATATCATAACAACCTACAGAGGTAGAAAGGCATTTTCTTATTTATAGAGGGATGATGCAATTTGGAAAGACTACTTGTTCATCCCCAAAGTCCACAAGACTGAACTGCTTAGCCTCATAGTGGAATCACTGTACTTTGAATGTACACAGGATAATAAAACCTGACACTAAGCTATCATACACCTCCAAGCTCAGATTTACTCCTGCTTCTGAAGTCATTTGCATGGAAGAAGCTAAGGGCAACGAGAATATGAGCTCCAAAGTTCAGAAGATGGCAAGAACTTGTCTTAAAATATTTTTTTCTTATTCTGTACTTTGATCTTCATGCATAACTTCCACTGACATCAGAAGTAGTTCTGTCTGTGCATCAGAATGGAACATTTTTGCCCAGTAATGGATATTGTGATACTCAGCTGTGAATACTTAAGCTATTGTCTGTTTGGAACCTTGCTAGGGTTTCACATATTTATCAGGCTGATTTATACCTGCAATTGGTCGTAACAATCTTGGCTTCTTTTCTCCCCTTTTTCTGAGGTAGGGGTCACATCATGAATTTTTAGAGGTGAAAACTGACAGCACAGTATTAAATTGGACAAAGTGCACGTAACACTGGATTATGTTTGTTCTGGCAAGAAATGGGAACACTTGAGTACAGCATGGGAGCATGAGGCAAAGTAGCACTGTGTTTGGGAAGTTAATGCTTCAATACAAACACTATCATTAATTAAGCCATATCACAGTTCATGAAAAATGCACATCCCATCCTTACAACCTTACTGGAAAAAAAACCCCAAACAACAGGTATTTTGCACATACTAATACTCAAATAGGTTTTAATTAAATTGGGGTTTACAGTTGCTGTAATTAGAAGTTGAAGTACAGTAGATGTATTGTATTTGGAGTTTTTTATTGTAATAATTTACTATACATTTGTTTAATTGAAGAAAAAAGCAGAAATGTGTTGCTTTATTGTGGGTTTTATTAAATCAATTCTTAAACTTCACAGTGTTGTCATAAAATATTTGTACTGCTGTCTCATCATCATCTTTGATTCTTAGAGCGGCTGTTTTTTGAAGTGTCTGAACACTCAAGCTTAACTCAGTTTGGAGATGCTACACACAGAATGAATTATGTCTCACTCTTTAGTCAGAACAATTTAAGTCTTGTTATTTCTCGTGCAATAATTGCACTTTAGAAAATATAAGCTGACAAAGTATGGTGAAGGAGCATAAAACAACTACCAAAACATTCTTGAAACCCTACATTCACCCTTGGGGGGCCCTTGTTATCAAGGCCTATAGACTGGAAGGAGTTCAGAGAAAAAGCAACACAAGATGAAATGAGAATCAAGAGCAAAAGAATCAATGCATCTATCTCAGGGAGACTCTGAAGTGTACATGCCCTGTTTTAAGGTTTAACTAAACTCATGTGGAAATTTATATCTGTGCAGCCTACCTCTAATCATTTTCTTATTCTTTGTAAATTATTCCAGGCACAGGTTGTCTGACACTCCTATGTTTAATGTAAGAATCCACTATTCTGAGTCTGCTATTAATCAGCATCAAAAGGAATAGGTGTATTATCACTTACAATACTCCTAGTGATGGAGTAAATGAACACAGAAGAACAATAAAAATAACCAAGTAGAAATAATTAGTACACTTACTTATAAGGATAGAGAAATACTGAGAAAATAACACTGATTTGCAAATAAACTACCAGGAATTTATGACCTGATCTAATACACAATAACAGTACTCAGGAAGCGCAAGTGCCTATAAAAGAAGACAAATTGTTTTTATAGACATTGTAAGGTCATTTTCAGTATCACGAGGCCTTAGTATAAATAAGAATCAGGTCCAATGTCTTTTCAAGCAGCTTTCCGGCACATCCAGATTATGTAATTTACACACTCTTACACTACTCTCTTACTTCTACAAAAACCTCTGCTTGAAATTAAAATGCATTTACTTAACAGGATTTCTCTCTCACCAAGAGACTCATAAGATTTGAGCAAGTTTCCACAACTAGTGTCCCTGTTTCTAGAGCTGTGCTGCATTACTCTTGCTGATTGAACAGCTAAAATCCTGTGAAAATTCTGCCACGTCTAACCGTCTACATTGGGAAGAGATTTTTCCTTTCTTAACCTGTGATTGTCATACGTCCTTTTCTGAAGCATGGATACAGCTTGGATGACAACCTATTCATATGAGTCAATAAAGCATTTTTATATCGAGCAGAATGCAAACCCTCACACCCCACTCTCCTATTCTGAAACGTTCTTGTCCTAATCAGAAAATTAAGAGAATCTATCTATTTTATTTCTGAATGTTTTCCTTGCTTAATTTCGTGAGTTTGTTTGTTTTATTTTTAAAATTGTGTTGACATTTAGTCCTTTCAATTTAGTCCCTTCCAGCAGCATTTTCTTCTACACCAGCAGAATTACCACTTAAAATACCATACCAGAATCTGGTCTTTAATTATTTTACTACTGTACATATCTGTTATCTCTTGCAGAATCACTCCCAATTGGCAGAATGACTAAGAAAAGCAGCAGGCTGGCATTTAAAAGTAGATTTCTGACATAAACTAAAAAAACCCAAGAGACACCCACCTAACTACTAACTACTAAGTAAGTCTTTTGTTCAGGTATTTTGTCAGAATCTCATGAGGGTGCTGCACTGATGCTGCATAGAGCAGGGTTGTTAAGTATTATTTCCCTCTACAGATACTAAAAGAATATGATTAATTAAGATAGGTTGTTGGGTAATTGAACATGATATATACTGCAGTAGCTTCCTAGACTCCAGTAAGCTAGTCCATTGTCAAAGAAGAAGTTCCCTTGAGATCTCAAGAGGGCGGGACAATCCACTGCAAATACTCATTTCCCTCTAGCCATCCAAAATGGCATTGCCAAGATCTTTTTTCTTGCTGGTTGCTCCAAGCCCATTCAGGAGTTAGCACACCCAGCTCAAATGTCACGTTTCATCAGCATTATGCCACTGCTCTCTGCTTCTCTCACTTTGTTTTCTTGCAATACTCTATTCTCTCCAACGCTTCACTAATAATGTCCAGCTTGCACCCTGTGCACCTGCTGCTTACATGGTCTCTAGGAGCTTCTCATGCAGCGCTCGGTGTGAAACACCCCCAAATGACTTGCAAATTCTATTTCTATTTCTATAGAACATATTCTATGTTCTATTCAAATACATGCTTGACTAAAGTGTGTTTCCTTTTTGATCTCTAGATGAAAAAAACTCTTCTAGCCACCAAGTTGCAAACTCACAAGGAAGACCTAATCTGAAAGCCTATAGATTCTCTTTCTACCTTTAAAAAACCAACAATGAAACACAAAAAAATGTCCTCCACGTTCCCCACCCTTAGTCCCCTTTCCAACTTCACCCCATCTTCCTCCTCTTTCTAAGAAATCATGCTGGCCACTAACCGACACTTCCTGTGCTCTGGAGGTGGCAAATCCTCTTCTGTTCTCCTTGTTCCATTTTCCACGGCTGGATGCTCTGGGAAGGACCACACATGCTCTTTTGTTCTGTGAAATACCCAACACAACTTTAGAAGGTGCTAGAATAAATACTGATCCTTTCCATTTACTGCTATACAGCTACCACAGCAATCTGTTCTTAGAATGCATGCGTACCTGCCTTCTATGTTTACAGCTGTAAAATAATGATAGCCAAATCAATATTTTTGCTCTTTCATCTCTATTTCCCTTTTCTCCATTGTGTTCTGCATTTTTTTCTTAGTATCACAGAGTTTGAAAACTGCCAGTGCTAAATGTACAGGACAAAATAACCTAACTGCTTTTATCACAGCTATGAAGCACTTACACCTTTTATGGCATCAATTTCTGTGGAAAAAATAAGCCATTTCATAAGCACAAGCACAATTTTATCCACATGATGACTGCTTTATGATTTCCTTACTATTATACCTGGTGAAAAGATAAGTTGTTCTTCCAGGATTTTGACTAGCCAGTACA